GAGGCTCTGTGTGTGTTGGGGGGGGGGCAACTGTATGCCTGCTCACTGTTCTTGTTGCATCACAGAGATGAAAATAACGCAGCACAATCAGAGGTCAACAGCTCTGCAGAATGAGTGTGGGGCACAAAGTGAAAAGCAGCTCATAATGACTCCCCCTCTTTTGTCAAAACAAACACCCGCCTAATTGAGTTTCTACTGGTTCATTCTAGCTTTCAAGTGCAGGCCAAAACAGTTATTCATGAATATTAAACGAGCGGATCAGGATGCATGCAAAGCAGCAGCATCCATCTCAATCTCAGCTGCATTTTTCTGTGTTGTTGCACATTTCTTCATTTGTTTCGGTGCCGTGTGAACAGGACTCGAGCACAGGACTAATATGCTGTTTTCTTTCCTGTAGAAGAAGCTGACAGCAGAATGTGTGTTCAGGGAGCAGTTTGAGGAGAACTGGTACAACACCTACGCTTCAACTCTATACAAGCATACAGACACGGGACGCTTCTACTATGTGGCCTTAAACAAGGACGGCTCGCCCAGGGAGGGCAGCAGGACTAAAAAACACCAGAAACTCACCCACTTCTTACCCAGGCCAGTGGAGATCGAAAAGATCCCTCAGGAATACAGGGACTTATTCCAGGACAGGTGACCAGCACTGACACCTGGAGAACAGGCTGTGTTTAGAGGTACAGTAATAAGAGGAGAGGGGGGGTGTTTTGTGGAGGTTTTGGACCTGTTAGAGAACTGTTTACCCTGAGGCCACTGTGCCAAGCATGTACAGCACTGACATAAACATTGTGCATGTTCCTGAATGTCGCTTCCTTTCCTCTGCGGTGGACCTGTTACCTCAGAGAGGAGGGGAAATTTTCTTGTAAAACCACTGCAGATATGGACAGAGGAGGCCAACGTGACTGCCCAGCTGTGGGACAATCTGGACGAACAAATCAGGTGCCATGTTTTCCCAATAACCACTCTTTAGAGGTAAATGTAAATGGAGTCGTGGCTCTTCGCGGTTTTGAGTGGGGAAAAAAATAAACGTTTGACTATGAGAGCATCAAGAAGAAACGTTTAGGACGTCCAAGTGGCAGAAAGCAATGCAAATGTCACAGAGGACATTTGTCATGCACTATACACAGTCATGGTGATGTTAAATGTAAGAGAAGGCACATTCCACATACACAGAGATAAACAGATAGACGGTGAGGGTCAGCAATACATGGACTGCACGCTACATGCAATGGCAGGTAAAGAATTTGTAAGAGGACTGCCTGTGTGGCGGAGAAGAAACTTGAACTGCAGTTTAATGAAATCGTCTTCAAAATGGAAGATGAAAAGAGTGGATATAAAATCTCTGAAGAATGTGTGATAGATGAAAGAGCACTTACTGCACATCTCCAGTTCCAGCTGTGGGCTCGTCACATCTCCCATGCAATCACCGCCAGTCTACGCATCACATTCCTCACATTTAAATATATCAAGCCGTACGAACTGTATGCAAAACAAGTTCAGGACAGAAGCACTTCTCTGACCACGGTAGTACAGATCAAGTGATGAGTTGTTTTTTTTAAAGGATGGTGACTTGTAATGTTCAGAGTGTCACGAACATTATTAAAAATGCAAGCAGCTGAGATGTACATATGGGCGATCCTATTTATGAGATGTACAATATATTTATTTTCTACATATAAAGTCTAAATATAAATCTATATTTATTTATTGCAAAGATTTTATTTTGTAATGAACTTGAAGTTATCTGGACTGTAGATTCTACTGAAATTACACCAAGGGGGGATGAAAACCTGCAATGAACATGACAATAAAATTGTCCTGCTTTCGAGAACTCAATGTGAGAGACTATTTGTGCCTGGATTAAAATCGGATGTACCAATTAAAAGCAGAATCTCTGCCAGTGTCGCATTTCCTTCCTTTCATTTTCATGCTAGCAGCGTGGCTCTATGCCAGTCTGTTTTGTTTTTCACCTAAAAGTGACCAGATCTCTCTCAGCAGCAACATAAAAAGTAGCTTTCTTTAGCCTTGGCTGATGTGAGATAACAGTACTGAAAGGCCATTATTATTAATACTTCAAACATAGTATCTTTTGTTTTGTTTTTTTTTGTTTTTTTTTAACCACATGGCGTTTTGTCCTGCTGTCCAAAAGAAAATGGGTAAGGCGACCCAGCAGATTTTTTTCCCCAGAGGAAAACACCCGTACAAACCCATGCCAATTTGCCCTCATAAACCCCTTACTAAGTTATGTGTACAAGCTCTCTCTGTCTCCATAAGGTCTTAGTCTGCCTACATCCACCGAACAAAATCAGATTCCCTATGCAACTGGATCCCAACTCCTAATTGGCTTTAGACATCAGCATGGATTTAGAGCAGTGATTGGTTGTTGATTTCTGGGGCTCACAGACTCCACTACAGTGCAGTCTGCAGAGGGTCTTTTCAACAGACAGAAACAGCTGCCTGTTGCACAGCGAACCAGCAGGGGTGTGCTGCAGAACCTGGCGTGGTGGTAATCTGGGGCTAAGAGGGGATGGGATCAACATTTCAACATCTGCAATAGTTGTAATGTTTCTCCACTGGCAGATATCTGTAAGCTGTGAGAGCAAGCTCCCCTGGGGGGAGGGAATGGAAAAGTCAAAGACATGCAGGGGAAAACCCTGGCAGACTGAGAAATGAAAACAATACCAGGAGAGGGAAAAATAGATGAAAGATTGAAGAGAGAAGCGAGTGGGACAAAAGGCCCTAAGTGCTGTGGGTGTGAAACACAGGGACACTGCATCTGGATGTATCTGCTATCTGCTTTCCACATGTTAAAGGAATGACTACATGTCAGGAATTGGGCACTTAATCTCTTTCTCACCAAGAATACAGTGCAAAGACTGAGACCAGTCTGCCTAGCAGCACCTAAAAAGCTCACTAGTTACTGTAACATGTTATAACGCAACTTTGTTGAAGAACCCCCGTTTCAAAATGTCAAATTGGTTCTGTAGTTCTTGGTCTCAGGGACCTTGTGAATTTTCTGCTGGTTGTCTGACAAACATTTCCACTAAGCTAGGCTCACCAGCTGCTGGCTGTACCTTCAAATTTAGAGCACAGACAGGAGCATGGTATCAGTCTTATCTAATTCTTGGCAAAAGAACAAGTGGATCTCACAAAATATTAACAGTCAAGAGTTTAGACAGTGTAAATTCCTTTAATCTTACATAAAACTGCAATTTCCAGTGTATTGCTTACATAACCTTTAAAGAACAGCACATACACCAGTAAAGTTTACATGGTGGACATAATACAACATGAAATTGCTGTCCAGAAATGCTCTAGGTGCATTTCAGGTCGTGTTGAAATAAGGATATATAGCTAGAGCTCCAGAGAGCACGAAGAATTTTATTTGATCATCTGATGTCCTGCTGAGAATGCATCTCAGTCACAGTTTTTTAATAATCACATGTAAAGGATCCATATCGTTTTTGTACCTGTGGCCTAAAGACCTAAGACACCGAGCATGAACTTCGTTTTCCTGCTATCCATTTCCTTCATGTCAACTGTCAAATAAAGGCTGGCCATCAAACAGCAGCATGTTTTAATTCAATTTGAATCCGTTTTATTTGTATAGCTCCAAACTACAACAAAAGTCGTCTCAGGACACTTTACAAAGTAAGGTCTAGACCTTACTATTATAGAGGAAAAACCCAACAAATCCCCCTTGAGCAAGCACTTGGCACCAGCGGGGAGGAAAAACTCCCTTTATCGGAAGAAACCTCCGACAGACCCCGGCTCTTGGTGGGCGGCCTTCTGCCTCGGAGTGGACAGAGGAGAGAGAAAAGAAGAAAAGCAACAAGACACAAGAAACAACAACAAACAATCAAACACTGATCAGGTCGATGTGGCTGGGGACTGCTCATCAGGGACGTAGAGCTCCAGAGCCAGGGCAACCTGCAGAAAGGTACAGTGAGAGAGAGAGGACACACTACGGGAGAGAGGAGACAGAGAGTGACAAGCAACAGCGGACACACCTGTCCTGCAAAAAGCATCACGTGTAGTTATCTGTGCACGTGCCCGGCTTCAGATACACTATCACGCAGGACATGTACTAAGTGAAAATGACCAAATCTACCAACAGTCACATCTTTAAATCCAGTTACTGCAAAGGGATGCACAGTGCTTGTGGGTGGAACAAAGACAAACACAGCAGTGGCTCATCATTTTGGTCACTTTATTAAATGTTAACCAGGATTTAATACTTAAGATAATAGCAGAACAAACTGATAAAATCAAAACAATGTATTTTCCCACATAAGAACATTCTTAAAGGGGGGGTGAGAAGTTTCTCTACATTAAATACACCTTATGCAAACACAGGAGCCAACTAGAGACAACAGGTGTCTCTTTATGATACATACATATTCCTTGTGTTTAACAGTTACATCAGTTTAAGCATTTAGAAATAACAAATGTGCCAGAGTACAGGTAGTCTGGGTGCCAGCCTGGTGAGACCAGTGTCCAGGAAAGCATTTCCTCACAAAGCAGAGGACACAAATCAGCCAGATATCCTCTGATTTTCAGTCTTTATTCCTTTCAGTTACATCAATCCTGCAGTCAAGGGGAAAGTTTTGGGCCCTGTGATACATGGCTGAACTGGTTGTGCTTTGTGAGACCCAGTCACTTACCCGAGCTTGGAATCAACGCAAGTGGAACGTAAACAATGAACAGGATGCACATTGCTATGCTAGACAACACGTGACAATGATAATGATGTTACAAAAAGTTCATAGGAACCAGCAGGCAGTTTTGAACAACACAAGCATTCCATTACCATGTTCAGCAACTACTAATGTAAACACGTAAAAGCATAATAAAAAAGATTCTCGACAAATCTCAGAACTTTACAGATCATTTTTAGGAAATGAATAAGGCCAGGTTTAAAAAATCTTTTCTGCTTTTGTGAATCAGTTTCTTCTCCCTTGCAAAAACAACAGGACTTGACAGCACCAACATCTGCTTTGCTAGACATTGATGGAGGAATCTACTGGGGCTAATAATCATGCTTTACATGAGAGTCCTGTCACCAGCTACACTGGTCCCATTCTGGTTTAGTTTAGGTATTTCAAGCAGTATAAAACACTGAGTTTAAATAATAAGGAAACCCTCTTTGAAGGGGAAAAATAATACAATGCTTTAAAGCATTGGGGGTAAAACTTGTCTTTAAATACATGAAAAATGTAGATACAGAACTTGAATAACATTAAGGCAGTATATACATTTTTTTTGTGTTCAAACTGCACAATGCTTTCACAGAGCTATTTGTACATTATCTTCCACCTTCTCTCAGTGAATTACAGAATCAAGAACTGAGTGTCTATCCCACTTGAGGCCCCAGTGGACAGCAGCCTAGTCTCAACACTACACCACCCTGGGTGCACTGGTTTGCTTGAGCCCTGTGGTCTCACAGTGCATTTGTTATAAGTCCGCACTTGGATTGAACCAGTGGGAGCCAGCTAGTTGAGTGGGGTGGGGTGGAGGAAGAGTCCTTCTGACCTACAGGCCCTTGGAGGGCCCAGGATTCTTGCCCATACCTTGATGGGACCCCAAGCCGTGGAACTGCTGGTAAAGCCCCAGAAGGTCCATCTGGCTGAGCCCGGCTCCCATCATGCCATTCTGCAGAGCCAGCTGGTTCAGGTAGTTGGCCTGGTTAGCCATGGCCAGCTGCTGCTCCTGCATCTTCCTGGCGGTGATCAGCTTCTGCACGACCATCATCAGCTGCACACACAAACAAAGAGTTAATATAACTATAGGAATTAAATAACTACACTGACGACCTCACATGATAGGGTCAGGGTTAAAGCACATGATAATATATAGACTGCGAGCATAGAAAACTGTCAGGAACTTAAAGCAGCAGGTCATTAACCAGAGTTTTCAGACTGATTGAGTACGTGGTTCTGTTTTAGTCAGACTAGTTATTTTCACTACAGTTAAGATGACCTTAATGATCTTCCTGCTCCTTGCTCTACCCTGTCTTGAAAACTAGCACCACTGCTGATGTAAGAGGTCATGTACAGCGGTGGTCTCAGAGATGTAGTCAGGGTTAAGAGCTTAGAAAGGTTCAAAGACAGAAACTACAGATGCTACCACTGTCGTCCTGTGTTTAGCAGGTACATTTATTCCTCTATGACCCATTAGTAGCTCATATTTAGTCTAAAGGTGCATTTTTTTTTGGAAGTTATACAACTTTTTGAACTTAGACTGTTCAACAAAAGGTTCTACCTGCTTAGTCATGATAGTCACATTACTAATGATCATTTTATTATCACTCTGTGTATATATGTGTACATATCTCCTTTAAGCACTAAACAAAATGCTGTCATTGAAACACTGATTTTATCAATGTGACCCAGTTCTACCTGCTGCAATTTGGTTTTCATAATAAAACAGCCTAGTTTACTGGTGTCGTCTCTGGTGATTGGCCAACGTGACTCGTACACAGAGCAGTTCTTACCGTCTGCTGCCTGGTGAGAGCGTCTCTGTACATAGCCTCCCTGTGCTTGATCTCCAGCTCTATGCTGGCCTGTCGTGCCAGAGCCATGGACTGGACCTGAACCTCGGTGAGTGCCGGGTTGTCCTTCCACTGTAACAGTTCGCACACGTTAATCTCAACCACCATTACAACTACAGTCACTTCTATCACAATGCAGTCCAGTGATAGGAAAACACAGTTTTTGATGAACAGTTATCAAGATGATCTGATTTAGAAGCCATGCTGCACAAGTTCTGACACTCACTACGCTGGCGATGGAATCCTCCAGCGACTCCCGCACTAAACTCTTCAATGCGTTTGTTGCTTGAATGACTTTCTGTCGTCCCTGATTTATAAGGTCCTGGAAACAAATGAAGGAGATTGAAAACCGAGGATACATGACTGTGGGCATTTTCTACTAGCTCGCAATTATGAAAGATTTTCTCAGGAGTTGGTGAAAACCAAAACATGAATAAAAGGAGTGTAAATATTAGATTCCCATTCATCAGGTGGCAGAAGCTCGACTCCAAATGCTGATCCTGCTCTGTGTGTGCTGCATGTGAAGGCAGGCAACAAGTTAGCAATAAACATTTTGCACCCAGTTTATATGGTGATGACTTTAGCTCCATCACAGTATTTGATGATTTAACGCTCCAGTCTGTTGATGTGATCTCAGTTGCAGAAGGGTGGAGTTACTGGATCACTTGTACAGGTTTGTAAGAATGTGTTTGTTTACAAAGACACAGCTGTAACACAATCAGTTTTCATATAACATGAATACAAGCACTGAAGCTGGCATACAATATTTTTACACTCATTTGACTCTCAGACCTTCTGTCCTCTCCCGCAGTGAGATGTGCCAGTGTGTATAAATAAGTGGGGCAGAGTCGGGCTCATCGGGGACGCGTGGAGCTCATTACTTACCTCCAGCTGCTGGTTGGTCATGTTGGCCAAAGCTGCCATGTTGTAAGAGAAGTAGTTGGAGGCACCCATGTCCATCTGGGAATATGACAATTGGTGGTTGGTCCTCATGGACAATCCCTGAGAGATGAAAAACAAGAGGGGGAGCGAGGAGGCAGGGGCCGCCCGGCATCCAGTAGAGGAGCAGGATTAGAGCACGTCAGTTAGGCAGGTGTTAAGTTCCACTCAGGGCATAATGGGAGAGACTGAACGCCATCATTGTGGTTGACCAGAGACAACAGTTCACTTTGCCTGATGCCCTTATTCGAACAGTGACAAGTCGAGCCTTTATTTTGTTTTCACTCAGTGATGTCAACAAGAAAGCTTTCATCTCTTCACACATATAACCTGTTTCAGTCTGCAAGAGCAACAAGTCTCCTCGTGTCTGCCTGCTCCCCTTGTATTAAGAGAGTGTGTGTGAGACAGAGAGAGAGAGAGACAGAGACAGAGAGAGAGATGACCTGAGGTAAATAGTCCTCTACCGGTAAGGGCCAGCAGGATGCCGATGCTCATGTGTAATTGAGCCTCTGCTGCAGATGTTTTTTTCCTGTGCCCTGTAATCTGGCCATCCGGTACGTAAGTGTAGGGGTGTGTGTGTGTGTGTGTGTTGGGGGACAGTGGGGGTCTTTGGACCCAGTCAGAGACAGGTGTGCAGGCCTAAACAGTACAAAACCTCAAAACAACCACAAAACCGCAACACACACGAGCACGCACACACTCACTTTTGGGTTTGCTTTCAACAAGCAGTTGCACTTTGGCTTCAGCTGCAACCTCAGATGCAGACTTCCTACAACTTCAGACAGACACCACATCTAGACACGATTTCATTTCCAAAACTCAGTGTCTGAAATATAAATCAATGACCTGAGCTTCTCTAAGCTCTGTACCGAGCTGAAGTCATCCCCATGAGACTGAGGGCTCCTGGGTTCAGTTTGGTTTTGGGCGCCTGATCGTGTTCTCACAGTTTTTCCCATTTCCTGAGTTGCAAATCTGATAGTCATGCACATAGCTTTTCCTGGCCACCACCAGCCAAGCTTCAAGTTGTGAAGACATTAGCAGAGATCCGGATACGTTCTAGTTGTTTCTCCCTACGTTCAGAGTATACACTGTGACACTGAACAGCCTCTTGTAATGACAGTGACTACATCTGCATCTTTAGTGTGCACCAGTTTGCAGTGAAGTGAATGCATGTGAAATCCTCCCACCGTTTCTCCTGTGACTGGCAACCCTCTGATCTCTCGAAAAGCAGAGGAGCTCTGAAGGAAAAGCCACTTAAGGCACACAGAGGGCAGAGGAGGGAGTGTGTGTTGGAAAAATAATCATTACAATGAATTAGAATCTAGGATTACACAGGGAGGGAGAGAAGACCTGCTGCTCCTGCTCTTTTACAAACCCCCTGCCCCATACACTTCCCTAAACGAACCCCACTAATTGCCCACACATTGATTTGCTCCACAAGAAAGAAGAGGAGAAAAAAGGAGAAATGGGGGAGGCACGAGAGAAAAGGGAAGAGTAAAACAGAAGGAGTCCCTAACCGTCTGTGGACCCATGTACTTGCAGTGAGGAGCACTGACACTGCTTAGACAGCTTCAGTGATTTGTATAACAAATCGCTAGCCTGCCGGTGGGCCAAAATGACCATCACTGGAGCACAAGGGAGACGCTATCATCTGCTTCCTCTAAGTGATGAAAAGATGATACAGATCCAACACTAACTTGAACATCTTGACATAGAAAAACTGGGCCTCACTCAGCTCAGCTTGCATTCTGATGTCAAGGATTTGGAGAACGATGGACACAAAGGCTAAGTGTGGTACATGTGTGGCTTTTTGATTTTGGAACTGGTGGCTTTGCTGGTATGCAGCACGCATTGTCTGTGTGTCTACCTTTTTCTCCGCTTCATACTCGGCCCAGGCAGCCTTGCGATCCTCTTCGCTCAGGGCTTCCTCCTCTTTGTGGTCCAGCAGGGAATCATGTTCATGGTAACACACGATGTGGTCCTTACTGTTCTGCAGCAACTCAGCCAGGATGAGATCCTACAGCAGAGAAGATGACAAAAACAAGGGTCATGGTGGGTTTAAAGTCATGATTAGAGGGGACGGAATGAGCTGAAAAAGGCCGCACTGGACCCCTGAGTGATAAAGGTGACTGTACATTCAGACTGATGACACAAATCCCATCCCATCTTTTAAATCACTTTCTTTTAAGATCTCTTCTTTTGTTGGCAGTTTTTTAAATTCCCCAGACCCCCATGATGTTCATTAACTTATTACATACACAACTGATCTCAGCTAAATACATGGGGCTTTGAAACCCAGCTCAAATCCATTTTGAGGGGGGCAAATAAATAAATAAAAGAAATGGGGGGGGAGACAACTGGTTCCCATGAAAACACTACCTGAGTAAAGTCAAAAGACCTGGGCCTGACTTCGCTCACACAAAGATTGTTTACATTACTCTGCAGCACATTTGCTTTTTTTGTCTCGACTTAGGTTTACATTAAACTGGAACATTACAACCTGAGGAAACATGTCAGAGTTTCATCATTAACCTCTACACGGGCCAATTCACAGAGGGGTTTCGCACTTCTCCCCTACCCTTTTCCCTCCTCCTTTGAACAGTGGCACCCAGTGTCAAGTTGCAAACAAAATTAATCAGAGATGTCGCTGGTATTAAGAGAAAAGACAAAACGAAAACACCAAAGTATGAAATCAAGAGGTTACTCCAAACCTGTGCTGAATAAAATGAAAATAAACACCAGCCCACATGGAGTGAAAATTTACCTTAAAAAAAAAAAAAATTCTTTTAGGCCACTGCAACAGACAGTGACAGGAAATGTGGCTTTAAAGCCATGTACCCATCAAACTGGACACGACTGATCCTTATTGACACAGCTTTGTTTCCCATCCATCATGCTCAAGCAGGATACAACTAGGCCACTCCTGAAAAACCAGACATTGTGAAGCAGTGGCACAGCCAGCAATTCAACTTTGCTTTCTAATTAGGACATAAATAAAAGGGTAAAAGGCATCCATCATGATTTGTTCTGCCAAATAAACAGAAGGTCAAGCAAGGGCCACAGTAGATGCCACCACTGGTAAGATACAACCCGTAAGGTACATTATCCTAATCTGACTCAGTAGTGCCAGTAAAGACGGTCCAGGGGCCACGCAGAAGTTCAGTTGGGAAAAGTTGATTTGACAGTTATAACCTCCACATGTGCACCTCTCTGCTTTGTGACTGGCTTGCTGTCCAGTTTCAGGGAGGAGACAAATGGCAGGCACTTCTCTCTACGATGCAAAAGCAAACTGAAGCCTTTTGAATGTGGATTTGTGAATTTTCATTGTTTTAAACGGACACGTCGTCACCTCCTGTAATAGTGTACACAGCTGGTTGTGGATTCTTAAATAAAGCAGATTGGGTTGGATTATTTTTAAGTGAAGAAGTGGGTTTCCTTTCAAATGCAGCGTAAAGTTGAACCACATTTCAAGAAAATCAGCAAAATAAAATGGCAATATAAATACATCCACTAAGTGGCACCGTTTTTCTAGTCGGGTGTCATAAAACCACAGCACAAGAAGATGCAGCTGAAAGAGCACGAGTCAAACCTCAAAAACAGACGATGCAAAATACAGTTGTGCTTGTTTCATGTATTAATTTAAAGGTACGTTACATTCTCCACCTCGCTTCAAACTGATCCATTTTCATCTCCAACAATAGTTTGTCTCTTCAAATTTAAGTGACATACAATAAATCGCAAATATCATGATGTAAAATCTTTTTCCAATATTTTACAATTTCTACTCAGGACTTTTTCTGTGCAAACTGAAACTGCACATAAAAACGGCTAGATGGAAACACAGTGACAACTACTGTCTACAAGAAGGACTGGCAGATTCTCGCCTGTTTCCTGCCATGAACAGAAACTTCCATGCTGCTGAAGACAACACAGGTCGCTGCCCGATCTGAAAAAGCCACAGCTTTGCTAGAAAAGACCAGATTTGGAAAAGTTTTCATTTTCCAGTTAATCCTAGTCTTTTTATTATTCACTACTAAAGTTTAGGCTCTGTATGGAAAGAACTGAGAGCTTCTGTAAAAAGTATGTGTAGGTTTTACTCAAATACAAGAAAGAGGAGCACTTCTGACTCGTCGACTACCTAACGGGTCAGTGGAGCTGCAGGTCAAATGACAGTACAGCACCTCCCACTGGAATCCAGTGCGTTCTAGGATACCCAAGTAATCCCCACCAGTAATGGCTCTGGGGTGGTCCGGTCCATCTTCCATTCTGCTGTGTTCAGTGCGTGTCCTGTACTAGTGCTAATGATTGTAGGTAACCTGACCTGGGCTATTCTCATCCTTATGGAGCTACAGGGTAAAGCCTATCCTATCGCTTTACTGCAGGGGAGAATAGAAAGAGAGACAGTGGGTGGGCAGATGCTCAGAAAGGGGGGGGGCAGTAGGAGTATTTCTAAAGCGTTAAATCTGGGAAGGAATTCTGGCATCACAGATGTGTTAAGAGGTGACAGGTCATGTCTGAGAACAAGGTGGAGAACACCTTCACTTAAGACCAGATTCAACCTCGGTGACGCTCTGATAATTTGCTGTCTTGTTCTTCATCACCACTTGTGGGGAAAAAAACTTTATTCAGCAAAGAGCCTACAAATGTGCTGTTAATGTAAAGTGAGGCCCTAAGTTGGAAGTCTTGGCTCCAACTGAAACAAAAAAAGGCTCAGCAGAGGGAAAAATACAAGTGTAGGAATCGGTATACTAATAAGACAACATACAGCACATATGACATTTCTTTGCATTGAGAGAACAATTTATTCTATCCCTAAGCCAAATTCTTGTACACATATATATAAAACAAAGACGTCCGACTTGTCAGCAGTCCATAAATGATGTAAGGCAGCTTTAAAACTCCGCAGCTCTCACATCAAAAAGATGAAAACCTGGGAGTAGACATAAGCAGGCCTCATGTAGACTTAAGAATTTGGCACAGGAACCTGCTCATACTTTACCAATAGACTAGGTGATGCTTAACAGTGAAAGGTCTGATGCATTTAAACACCTGCCTGCATTAAAAGCTCGGGGTCGTACGCAGACAGGATTTTTGGCGGTGCTATCAGAAACCTGGCTGCTTGCTTTAACCATGCCTCTACAGTCAGTGATTTATTCCATTTCTGCAATTTCCACAAAAATAAGAGAGAAAACCACCACACAGGAGGAGAGATGAAAGGAAAGATACGATGAGAAAACAGACCTTTGTTTGGACAGCGACATAAAAAGGAGAGAGCTACAGAGACGGAGAACAATTGATCAAAAATGAGCCTTACAGTGGCAAAGTGATAGAGATCCTCAGTTGTCTGTCTAGTTCATTCGGTTTTCCAGGAGATGTTGAATGTATTAGAGGTGGCTGTTTGCCAGAAACAGCTTTGAACGCACAGGTGCATTAACC